CCAGAGCCCCTGCTCCCAGCACTGCCACACCTGCATCAGCACTGGAAGCGGGGGACTCTGCACTGCTGCCGCTTTCCAGCTGGTGCGGAGGGGAGGGACATGGGAGGCAGGTGCTGCAGTGCTGGGAGTGGGGGCTATGCCCTGCTGCCACTTGCCTCCTTCCACCTGGAGCAAGCCGCACCTGCATCATGCCTCCCTCCCCTGGGCAAGCAGTAGCAAGGTAGAGCCCCCACTCTCAGCACTGCCGCGCCGGCACATCCTGCACTCCCCCACTCCTCTCCCGGAGTAATGTGCCTCCCCCACCCCAGCCGGGCAGCTTGTCCCAGCCTCAGCTCCAATCCCTCCCTCCCCTATGCTCCTTCTCTCCCCCAACCCCAACAGACTTACCAACTGGAGGCACCTGTGTCAGCTGCCTGTTTAATCTATGGCCATATCTCTGAAGCGGTGCCAAATCTTTTGGATCTGATTTGACCGAATTGAATCAGGACAGTGATTTGAATCTCTGAATCGAATCACTCTCCTCTGAATCAGCCGAATCTGAATCCAAAGTGAATACTTGCTGCTTCGCACAGGCCTAGAAGCTGGCTCCCAGGTCAGGCTACAGGAGGCATAACCCAGTACAAAGGGCATCAAGAATAATGAGGGGTAAGGAAGGGCTTCCATGTTTAAAGAAACAAAATAAGGTAGGACTTTAAAATTTAGAGTAGAAAAGAGATGCTTGATGAATGTTGTGATAGTCTACAAAATATTAAATGATGCATAGAAAGTATACAGGGTTTTATTATTTCTTTTTCAAACTACTAGAATTAGGGGACATCAAGTAATTGCTGGAAGCTGCAATGGCAGAGGAGCAGGGAGTGAAAGAATTTGGACATGCCCTGTTCACTTTGCCTCTCAGCATCCGCACTGCAACTGTTTGAGACTGAATACTAGGCTAAATGGCCCCAGTAAATGACATTTATGTTCTTATGGCCCACTGCATGGAAGAGACTCTCAGTTTTTTAACTTGAAGGAGACAAGCAAGATGGAGCTTGACTGTAGATCAATGAAGCAGGCACTTCTCTGAATGGTGGGAAGGAACCTTAGTTCTGTTTCTTCCTGTCAATGCTGTTAATGTATTTTTGCCTGAAAAAAACCCTGGACTCAGGCAGGGTGGAATAGGATTTAATTTAGAGTTGGATGCCTAAAAGCTATTAGTGCTGTTTAGGTGCAGTAGGAACAGGGTTGCTATATTTCTCGGGAATTATTACCCTTAATTTAAAAAATACTCATCAGAAATTAATTTCCTTCTCAGGAACTGTGTGGACGCAGAATATTTTGAGTTTAATTTTTTATGAAGGCCATCGCAATGGAACAGAAGATATTGTAATAATGGATAGAGTCCCATGGCTGGAGTGCAATGTAAAGAATCTGGATTTAGCCAATCTGCCATCACCTCGTCTCTTTTTCACCCACCTGCCTTACTATTTGGTTCCAAGAGGTCTGAGAAACAGAAGAGGAAAAGTAGGTGCCATGATCTGTACACCTTAATTTCCAAGCACAACTTCTTTCTTTCTTCAGAAGAGCATCCTCCCCAGCAGGGCTTCCAGATGTGAATCTTCTCCCCTCCATATGCAATGGAGATCTTGGGTTCCTCTAAGGCTCCATTCCTTCCCCTCAGGTCCTGTCAAAGGCAAGGGGACCAACCATGTGATGATACCACTGAAGAGGAAGGCTCTCATAATGACCCTGAGCACAGCCTTCCCTCTTGTGTTGCTTTTCTTAGTTTAAAACAAGAGGCTCTTATGCTACAGGTGTGCAGTGCTGGCCTGACATGATTTTAGTGGGTTGGTTGACACAATGCCTGCTTCAAGAATTTCCCTCAGATCTCCCATGAAGGAAAGTTTCTGTCCCCAGGTTTCAAATAAGGCTCCCAGAATACTCATCTCTTTGACCTGCTTTATTTTTCCTGCAGAAAATCCTGCAGAAACTCCTTCATGTTTCCAGAGATTTAAAATGTTTGTGGCCCTCTTCTCTGGTGGGAAAGATGCACACAAACAGAAAGAAATGTTTGCTCACTTCTGTGCATATTTGTGGAGCTATCTGTCCCTCACAGACGAGTAGTATCAATGACATGACTTTAGTGTATACATTTAAGCACATGCGTGAGGTTATGTGGGATTTTAAAAAGTTATGATAGTATTTTTTGTATAATAGCTGGCAAAGGTACAAAACACATAGTTAACTATTACAAGAAACATGTAGTTATGTGTTTAATTCTTTGTAGTATATGTAGCAATATTTAGTATTACTTGTAATAATAACAGTTACAACTCCCAAATATTTAGGTTAATTATGTCCACCTGATATATTTGAGACTGTTAATTTTTTGCAGGTGATTTATGTTGCCAGGAACCCTAAGGATGTCATGGTTTCTTATTTTCATTTTTCCAAGTTCATGCTTGCCCTTGAGACAATACCAGATTTGAATACTTTAATGGAGAGGTTTCTTTCAGGGAAAGGTAAGGTTTCATTTTCAGATAAAAGTCCCAGTTGTTCTCCCTGAGCAGAACCCAGTTTAAACTTTACCTGCATACATAATAGATTGAGTCAGAAAGCATAATCGTGCTCCCTACTTCACCAGTCCTAAAACTTGGGTTTAAGGCTGGGGTGAAAACAGTAGCTGGCACAGTTCACAGGAGCTGCATAGCCCCGCGCCTCACACCAATCAGGTAGGTTCCTTTGTGTATCTCTATTGGATGCTCTGTCTGAAACTTAAAATGAGGACTGAAATACATTTCAGCACCTATGTGCCGAGATAAGAGTTCGCAAATGAAGATACACGCTGCGGAAAAAAACACTGCAGTAGTTTTCTGGAAGGAAACTACAATTTTTTTTCTAGGAATCCCAGTACTACCAGTGTTAGTTTGAACACACAACTATCACCTTTATGCTGTAATGCCACATCCTATCTCACCTCCCCATAAGCGAAGCCCTTGACTGTCCCCCTATTCTCATTTTACTATTATTTCATAGATTTCATAGACATTTGGGCTGGAAGGGACCCTGGAGGATCATCGAGTCCAGCCCCCTGCCCCAGGGGCAGGAAGTCAGCAGGGAGCATAGGATCCCAGCAAGATAAGCATCCAAATGTGTCTTGAAGGTGTTCAGAGTGGGAGCTTGAACCGCCTCTGGTGGCAGTCTATTCAAAATCTTGGGGGTTCGGACAGTAAAGAAGTTCTTTCTTATGTCCAGTCTGAATCAGTCATGGAGGAGTTTGTGACCGTTTGATCTTGTCAGCCCTTGGGGCGCTCTGGTGAACAGACGTTCCCCCACATCCTGATAAACTTATAGGTGGCCACCAGATCGCCCCTGAGCCTGCGCTTTTCCAGGCTGAAGAGTCCCATGGCTCTCAGCCTCTCATCATAAGGTCTATTTTCCTGACCACTGATCATGCACGTGGCTCTCCTCTGCACCCTCTCAAGCTTCTCCACATCCTTTTTGAATTGTGGAGCCCAAAACTGGACACAGTACTCCAGCTGTGGCCTCACTAAGGCCGAGTACAATGGGAGAATGACATCTCGGGATTTGCTTGAGAAGCATCTATGGATGCAAGCCAGCGTTTTGCTCACTTTACTAGCCACAGCATCACACTGAAGGTTCATGTTCATCTTGTGGTCAATCAAAAAATTACTTATTTATTTTATATCTGAGATTTATAACACCCTCACAGCACCATAGTTTTACTCCTACAGCATATGGCTCTGAAAATGTAACATTTAAGTTAAATCAAAATAACCTTTATTAACCACATCAATAAAAACAGGGAATCTTTAGTGTTTATTGTTATGGTCATTCCATATTTAAATCAAAAAATATTCTGTTGTTGCTGAAACTGCTGCAAACTCTTCAGTTTGCCATGTGACAGTGCTAAAAAGGCTAAAGATTCTTTAAAGAATTTAGTCAAGATTACCAGATAACCAGGGATTTTGGATAATAACACAAGGGAATTTAACTCTAGACTTGAGATTAGTGGCTCTCCAAAAGTAAATATGATAGCATAAATGTGAGTGTAAATATATTATCCTGGATAAAATGTATGTTCCAGGATGCCATTCAAATGTACGCTGAAAGTACAACCAGTTGTAGTTATCATGTAGCAGACTGAATCTCTAAACTTACAACTTGTCCTGTATTCACCTTGATTAAAAGATGGACATTGCTTGGCCTATGGTTTTAGGATGAAAGTTATATTGAGATAAGGCTGTGAATCAAAATGGGAAATGAAATTAATTATCTGGCAGTTATTTGGGAATTAAGCACAGCATGTGGAAGAGAAAATGTGATAAATTGCTTCCATAGCCTGTTCCTGATAACAATGATAGTTTAACTAGTCTTCTGTTGGGAATTATTAAATGTATTATTGTTATTACTGTTCTTTTTCATAAGTGGTTTATAGCTCATGGCTGGATCACATCAGAGGCTGGTATACCCACAGAGAGGATTTCAATATTCTCTTCCTTACCTTTGAGGAGATGAAGAAGGTGAGTGAGGCTAATGAACAAAAATGTAGCCAGGGAGTCAGCAAATGCATTGTGTCACAAAAATACTTAGATACCTAAAATCTCATTGAAATCAATGGGCTTTTACGTGCCAAATAGGAGTTAAACCCTTAACTTTCAATGGGCTCTACCTTATATTGTTTAAAGAGGTGTTCTGCGTCAGGGCAGCAGACAGGCTAACTGGTCTCAAGTTGGCTAGGCCAGCTACTAGCTGACTAACTCAAGCTGGTCCCAGTTATCTGCAGGGGTATGACAAAATCACCACCTCTGAGCTGTTTGCCTGATAATTCCCTATTTATCCAGAGTTCTGCTTTTGCACATGCCGTAGCCAAACTGTAGTTCATGAGTTGCATGTGGCTTGCCGGCATGGTACTTGTGGCTCTCCGAGGCTTCTCTGCACCACTTACCCTGGGGCGTGCTCCTTGCAGGGAAAGCTGGAGTGGCTCGGCAGTGCGGGGTGGCGGGGGTAGTCACCTCCACTCTGGGTCACTTAGCACCCGCCCCCTGCCTATCTGGCTTTGGTGGAAGATCCGATGGAAAGAGGAGGTACGACTCTTCTAGCTTGGTGGCTAGGTATTCAAGTAGCTGGGGGGAAGCCTTGGTTCTATTTCCTACTCCAAGGACTCTTTCTCTGTATTTTTATACAATGCTATATACTGTAAAATGCATAAAGAGTCCTATAAGGTCTATTAAAGTGTGTTGCCCAAACTTACTGAGAGGGTAGAATGTGCCCATGCTTTAGAAATAATTTATGAGTTTTGGCATAAATCACAAATTGAGCTGGTTTGGAAAAGATGAATTCCCCTGTAAAAAGTTTCAGTTAAATGTGCTTGCAAGAAACTCTCTTGCAAACTTTATATTTTGAGTTTTTAGTCTGTAATCCTCAAAAATTCAAAAAAATGTCATTTTAGGTTCTTGATCAAAGAATAATAATAAAATGAAGGCAGGAGGGATGTGGGAGACAATGTCTGCGAAAATACATTTTCAGCAAGAAAAATGAAAGAGTTATAAAAACTGGCCACTGAAATGTTTGACCAGCTCTTGTAATGAGTTTGTCGTCTCATATAACTAACACAATTTGACAGTGAAATGGAGGGAAGAAAAGAATGATTTTCTAATTTCTACCTTGTCAATGCCTAACAAAATGTGGGTTGCTCCTACACATGGTTCGCATGACCTGATAAACAATACAAAACAATCAGTGTTGATGCAATACTTTGAGAGCACAGAAAAAGAAAACAAAAATAGAGTCTACCACTGCTGTGACAATCAGATAAATGGAGACAATTGCATGAGGTTATCTTTGTTTTTTATTGACAACATATAGGATACTTATGGACAGAGTTAGTGCAGCTAATTACCTTGCTTTATTCATCTGTTGTCTGCATAGCAGTACATCACCTTTCAAACTTACCTTTTGGCTCTCTTCTTTTAAGAGAAATGAGAATTTTTAGTATAAGCTAAAGCTGATCAAATTATTTTAATTGAAAGACTTGTAATTGTCATTTTTTTTAAATGTATATGTATATTTTTGTGAAACAACCCCTTTCTCCTGAAGAACTAGTGTCATTTGTAGTGATTTTTTTTAAATTATTTTAGGCTTGAATAAATTAAACACTTTAATAACTGTTTTGATAATGAAACCAGTGAGAACATCTATTAAAAAATCCCTGAAATCCAGTACTATCACCTGAGGATGGTTAAACACAGGAACAGGCTACCTAGAGACGTTGTGGTACCTCTATCCTTGGAAGCTTTTCAAAGCAGGTTAGATAAACACTTCACTAGGACAGTTTAGTCAGAGATGGTCCTGCCTTGAGTACATCCTGAGGTCCCTTCCAGCTCTGTTTGTAGGATTCTATGAAAACAGCTTCAACATTTACATTTTATTTAGGAACTAATTGTCCTTTTCCAATCAGCACTTCTTTTTCTGATTTCTTACTACCTTCAGAAGGAGCACAAATGACAAGTATAAACCCATTTAAGAATTTAGACTCAAGAGTTTCCACTTGCTGAACTACATGAATTTAAACCTGATTTTAATTGAACTTAAAAATATAGCAAGGCTTAAGAATGTCTGAGTTAAACAGGGGAAGAAGCAGCAGCATTTCTTCTGACATTGGAAGCTGAAAGGAATAATGTAAAGGCTAATATCTGAAGCAAGGTACGCTCTTCATGAAGTTTTCCTATTCCTGAAATGCTGAGACTTTCTGCTTCTGGTTCTGAAAGAAAGCTCTGAGATGAACCCCAAAGACACAAATCTGGCAGCTATGAGAAACCTCTCAAATGATGGCAGGACACACAAAGGTGGTTTGATTTCCACTCCTGTTTAAATATCTCCTGTTCAGGACAGGAACTTGGGTGGTCAGGGATTGTCGCCTGATATTCAGGTGAAGTCTAGGGACTGCATTCACAGGGAAGTCAGTACTGAAGTCAAAGTATACCAGTGGTAAGAGCCAGAGCTCCAGTAAGTAAGTCAAGGAGGTGCAGAGGGGTCAGAGTTGAGCATCAGGCTGTGTGGATGGTACTGGCTTTGTATCAGACAAAGTACTGTGGACTGGGCCTAGCCTTATTTAGGTTGGAGTGGCTGGGAGCAGTTGCCTGTAGCCTCAGGGGACTGGTTACCCTGTTTGCCGAACCAGGACCAGCTGGGCCTAGGATACTGATCTGAGGCCATTACAACATCCTATTATTCTTTTTCCTATCATTGTATTATTTTGATTTAATTTTTTTTTAAGTACATAACAATCCTGTTTGTAGGATCTCAGAAGTGCTGTGCTGAAAATCTGCAACTTCTTAGGCAAGCACCTGAGTGAAAAGGAACTGGACTCTGTTGTGGAGCAGGCTACATTTGAAAACATGAAAAGAGATCCTAGAGCAAACTATGAGTTCCTGCCAGACACTCTCGTAGAAAAAAGCAAAGGACAATTTCTTCGCAAGGGTAAGGCAGATACAGCTAAATACAGTCAGGTATTCAACCCATGAAATCTTTTCACAAAAAATTGAGCTAAGCTTTGACAACGTCCAATCACAATGGGCACATCTACATATTGCACTATGGTGATGTAGTGACATGCTATGTTGCCATATGGTGCACTACGGTGATGTAGCAATCATATGGGTCAGGAACAGCTGACTTTGTAGGGGATAAAATTTGAAAGTAGGGTTTAATATCCATGTAGCAGTGTCTCAAATACCATTTCCCAAAAGTTAAAAGGAACTTTTTGCCTGGTACAAGGTGCTACAGGCCTGATACTAAAAGCTCTCATTGACTTGAGACTGTGGAGAAAGGAGTCTCTGCCCTTCTGCCTGTGGGAAGAGACTGATAGTTGCAAAATGGTGGAGAAGGGGGTGTCCCTCCCAAAGAAAAGCTGCCTGCGCCCCACATTTTTGGATGAAGTGATGGTTATCTCAAAACAAAGAGGGGAGCCTGGGGTAGGACCACTTTATGAACTGTGAGGTGTGACGCTGGGGAACGGTCAAGAGAAGAGGAAGATACAGCTTAGTTTTTTTAGAGAGCAGTTTGGCAGAGCCACAGTCTGTGATAGAGCTATTTGATCTAGAGAGTGGCCAGACAGAGCTGTGAGGTTCAGGCCAACCCAGCAGTGCCAGGGATAGACATTGGAACCAGAACACAGCCCTCAGTGCCCCCAGGGGGTTCATAGCATGCACAAGCATCAGTGAATTCAGTAAAGAATTTGTTCTTACCTTGCAGGAGGTAGAGAGATTGGACAGGGTTATTGAACTAATATCAGATCAGAGAGCCTTCATCTGGTCATTTCTATTCTGGGAATGAGGGATATTATAATCTTGCTGAGGAACGTACCACAGTACTTCCCATGGCAGCCCCTCCTGGAATTACTTCCTGACCCAGACAGAGGGCTTGCTCGGCTCAGGTAAAAGAACTGTTATCTAATTGTAAGCAGTATTCCCTCTTGAAAGTACTTGCAGCTTCTTGCTGACTGAGCCAACAGAGTTGATTTGAGCTGTGTGAGGCATCCTTAAGCATTCAGACCCAATAGGATGTATTCAGCAGTACCAAAGCCCATATTAGAGATGTTTGTCATATCACATAATGCACTGCCGAAAGGTTCTGAGATGCAGTGATGATGATGACTGGGGTATCAAAGCCTGCGTGGGATTGATGAGCACTTGGACTGCAGAACAGAGCTGGTCTGCTGTGCTGGTGGCAATTTCACATGTGGGAGTCCAATCAGTGTGTGGGTGAATCTAGCCAGAACAAAACAAAATCAAATCAAAGAAACAAACATCTTGTCTCTGTCAGAGAGAGATGGGAGTTCATTTTGTGTTCCTTATATGGGACACTTTCAGTTTGAGGGTCATGAATAAGTGTCAAGAGTTTACAACAAATCCTCTTTTCTGATATTGGTCAATTGGCGGCGATCCCAAGTAGATGGAAATGAGTCCCTGAAATGAAAATTATTCACACCCTACTACATGCTCCCTTGCTTCCTGCTCCTCTGTGCCTGCTCCCCTGACCCTTGATTCCTGTCCCTGGCTTCACTATTCCCTGCCTCCCACACCCCCATATCTGCCCTGCAAGCTGCCCCCTAATCCTTTGCTCCTCTGGCAGCCTGCCTCTTCACATTTCCAATCCCATAGAGCAGGGGTGTTCAACCTCCAGCCTGTGGGAAAAATCTGGTCCACAGAGCCTTGGTATCCAGCTTGCAGGACTCCCCATGGGTGGGAAATTTGGCAGCAGGCGAGTAATGCTACCCTTTTCCACTGCCAAAATCCCAAGTCCCACATGGCAGATTGGAGCCATTCATGCCCCCTCCACTCAGAGGACCAGATATAGGCCAAACCATACCCCTCCATACCCCCTTCAGAGCCAGGTTGGGACTGGGCAAAGTCCCTTTCCACCACATGGCTGGATCAGGGCTGGGCTTCCCTCTGCCTCTCTTGGCACAGCTGGTTGGGGCCCTGATGTGCCCGACCAGGTGCTGGATGGGGACCACCAAATGGACAGATTAGGTACTGACCATCCAGTCCACTGGGGAAAAAGGTTGGTCACCACTATTATAGGGCGTTACACTTCAGCAGTTGAGGAACTGTCCTCACTCATAGCAGCTTCCCCCAGACACAGGTTTAATCCAAAATACAACAAAATGTGTAAGCAGCAGGTATGCACTAATGCATCTTTTCTGTCTCCTTCCCTTCCCAGGCACCGTGGGAGACTGGAAAAAGATAATGACAGTGGCACAAAGTGAGAGGTTCGACATGGCTCTTAAGGAGAAAATGAAAGACCTGCCCTTCAACTGCCTCTGGGATAGTAATGAGGAACTATAAACTAGGGCTGGGTATTTGACTGGTCAAATAAAGTTCAGTCAATTGACCAGTCAAATATCAGTTACAATTGTAAAAAAAGTGCCAATAGGTCCAAACAAAACACAGAAAAAGCACAATTTTTCCATTAAGAAATATATTCAAAAATCATATTTCTGTCAAGAAAACTACAAAAAAATTGCTATTATCTTTGGCTGGTCAAAAAATTATGCAGTCAGTTGACTGGTCAGTTGACAATATTTGACCGGTCAGTCGACCGGTTTGCCAATCCTATTTGAAACTAATATCCCATTCCCAGTAGGAGAAAGTGGACTGAACAGAAAGAAAAATGCTTCCCCCATACAGTGTTTAAAGTGCACAAAACCACGGATTCAAAATTAAAGATTTGGAACATGCAAAATTTCCTACTAACTGTATGTGCCTGTTGTCTTCACCATGGTATCTGGTTTTAAAATGTAAAACACACACACACACACCCTCTCCCAACCCTGTCACATGGAATAACTGTTTGCGCAGCCCTACAGGAGTCCCAGTATCCACAATGCAGAGTTTTTACATTTTGGTCAGACTCGGCTTCAAAGCTAAAGGAAGGTATAATGAGACTCCAGAATAAGGTATCTATCTCTAGATAGAGACATTGCCAATATTTGTTTTATGTAAGCCTACAGAGGCAAAAGTCAAGACTGGAACTACTTAGACTTGTTCTCTGTCTACATGTAATGTAGCATGGCTCTTGAATGAAGGAACTAACAGTGCAAGAAAAGTAACAGATAAGTTGTAAAGGGATGTGGGTGCTGATAATACAGCAAATTATGCACTTGTTTTTATATGAGCAGTTGCATGTTATTCTTTTATATCTATAAATAGATTAAAAAAATAGTCCATAGGGTACTACTACTACAAAAGTAGTCTCATTTGTACATCATGCCATTATTAATTTACATATTAGTGATAGCACGTTTCAGAGGAGGAAGAGAGGATGGTAGTCTTAGTGATAAGCCAAGGGAGAGGAAATCTCTATATGGGGTCAGGGTGAAAGAAAGCCCAGATGTACAAATGAGAAAGTGACAGATGTGGTCCTGCCCTCCAGAGCGCCTACAGCTCTGCCAAATTTGGTGTCATCTGCAAATTTCCTAAGTGTATACTCGATCCTACCATTCAATTTATTAATGAATATATTATGCAACATTGGACCCAGGACAGAACCCTGGAGAACCTCCCTCCCAGGTAAACAGTGAACCATTGATGACTGCTCATTCAACACTATGATGCAGTCAGTTATGTACCCACCTTACAGTACCTTTCATTTATCCTGTATTTCCTTCGCTTGTTAATGATAATGTTGTGGGAAACAGTGTCAAGGGCCTTTCTAGATTCAAAGGATATGTACACATGTATATATACACTGCTTTTCCCCATCCATACAGCCTGATACCTCTTCATAGAAGGAAATCAGGTTGGAGTTGATGAATCCATGCTGGATCATTGTGATCACCTTGTTCTGCTTTAGGTGCTTTACAGTCAGTTCCTAAAAGACTTGCTTCATGATTTTTCCAGGTACTGAGGTCAGACTGCCTTAAACTGTAATTCTCTGGATCCTCCTCTTTTCCTTTCCTGAAGATGAACACTTCATTTGCATTTTTCCAATCACCTGGTACCTCACCTAACCTCCGCAAGTTTTTGAGGATGATAGCCAATGGCTCCAAAATTGCCTCAGCCAATTCCTTCAGTACCCTAGACTGTGTCCTAGGTAGCCCTGCTGACTTGAAAGCATCTAGCTTCTCTAAGTAATCCCTAACCTATTCTTCTACTACTGTAGGCTGTTTGTGTCCCTATAAATGTGCTCAGGGGTAGAGGAAATGGGTTTTAATTAGAGTGGTTCCCAGGGAGTTGTTCTAACTAAAATACTGCTCTAACTAAAACTAAAACATCTATGTATTAAGCCTCCACCCATTTAAAAATAGTCAAACGATGCTTTGCCTAAAGCTGATTTGGCCATTTTTAAACCCTCAGGGGCTTATATGTGTACGTCACACTCTGGCGATGCTAGATTAATTGAGTCTGCCGCAATGCATTCTAACTAGAACATATCGGAGCATGTGTATAGGCACCCTTTGTCTCCTTCACTATCTTTGCTGCTGCAAATTGCACTAGTCATCAGGTAGCTGACCATATTTGTGACGACTGAGATTAAAAACATTACATTCTTCGTTCTTCCCTGAGAACATTGCTAAGGCTTCCACTATTGCTTTTCCTTAATAAGGTTTTATCCTGGCTCTGGGCTTTTGTGTCTATCCCATCTCCTTGTGAATCTAGTTTAAAGCCTCCCTCACAACGTTAGCAAAACTGTACATGAAGGCACTCTTCCCTGCCTTCTTTTTTTTTTTTTTTTGTGCTGGCTGACTGCCACACCATTCATGATTGCACAAGATCACTGTAGGGGTTCTCTCTCATATATACTCATGCCAATCAAAATTGCATAGCATTACATATCTATCGACATAATCTGTTAAACTCTTGATTTTCTAATATAACTTTGGAGCATAGCAAGCTAACATATATGTTAAGAGGCACAAAACAACAATACATAACAGCACAATGACAATAGGATGCATCATCAAATTCATTAATCTAGTCTATGTTGGGCTATATCTTACGAAAATGTCATACTAGTGGTGTCTCGACACTGACTCTAATTTAGCTGTCAATTTCAAGAGTTTATCTTTTTGATGTATTATATGCAGACTTGCTTGTTTTTCTTTATTCAAAGTGTTGCCATAGGCTCCAATCATTTTCTCTAGCATTTCTAATGGCTGATACACAGCCTCTCGTGAAGGGCCTAAGGACATGGTCTAATTTACTGGAAAAACTTTTGCTAAGGCCAGTGATCGTGAATAGGTCAGTTGTGCATAAATGTGTTCTCTACTTTCGACTGCCGTAGCATTGCAGCGGCATTCTCTGACTGGGGCTTGGGAAACATTTTCATCATTCTAAGTCATCAGAGTCACTGAGGCCACACACAAACACTCAATAGCATTATTGACCACTACGGTACTTTGGTTAAAAATGCCATCTAACACACAATTTCTTATGCTTTCTTGGTGTAAGCGACAGGGATCCATCAAGAAATTTTCTCGGTAACACATGTACTCATGTCACTCTCACTGTTCACATCTCCTAGGGTCTAGGAGCTCTCCGGATTGGGTCATCTACCTAGCGGGGGATCTAGGGGCCTAAACTTTTCCTGCCAACACTATGGGGATGGAGACATACTCGTACAAGGGCCAAGTTTTTGTTTTCATCTTCACAGCTCTAATATGTATGTACCCCCTCAATGGTGTTTTTATCTCTGAAGATATAACTTTGGCAAAAAGGGGTTTACATTTTGGGCACCATTCTACGTAGGAACTGGAGATGACTGCCGGGTCTCTAGATTTAACTCAAAGTGCTTGTCTCTCATACTGGGGCAGCACAAAAGTTTGCATTGTGACACAAGCTATAGCAGAACTAGTTTTATTTGCAAGACCCTTTGCCTCCTTCACAATGCTATGCAGAATGGAGTGCATTTGTTGCAGTGGCTGTATTGCCACAGTCAGAGTTTTAATGTGGTTTTCTTGGTATTCCGCATTAGCCACTATTTGACTTTTTAATGTTTGCCGGGTGAGCTGTTTCATCCTAGAAAGTTTATTCCTCACTACTTCTATGTCCATTGAATTGACTGCAGTCTCTGCTGTCTCCAACGAGCCTAGGACAGTAGCAGCATCCCTACAGAACCTTCAATGCAGACACAAGTCCTTCTGCCAAGCAGAGAGGATTGGTCCTGCTTACTGGCTGCACCAAGGGTGCACTTGAGTAACATTGACTTTCTATTGCAAAATTACAAACCTTTCTAAAAACACTGAAGGGAACACTACAAAGGTTTCTGGGAAGAAATGTCACATCTTGGGCAGGGTGCTAACCACTGGGCCTAATTTTCTTGTTCTTTTATTTACTTCTTGATAGTCTATCATTATTTTCCACTTTCTACTAGCCTTATGCACAGGTCATAAGGGGGAGTTCTACCGGGAGATAGTGGGCTCTACTAGCTCCACCTCTAACAGTCTCTGCAGCATTTCACTTACCTCTTGTTCAGCCTCAGGCATCAAGGGACAGGAGCGCACAAAGCGTGGCTTTATTCCCTTCTCCATTTCAACCTGTATTTCCTTCTTAGTGTTTCCCACATCTTATTCTGATTGGACCCACGGCCCGTCCTTTGGTCTGGGAACCATCTTTTCAATGGCCATCACTCTCTGGTGAGGGCCATCTATTACACAGTTACACAGGACATTAGTTTCTAATATCCACAGCGAGTGGTGGGTAGCAGTTACTACCCTGGAAACTTCTCACTTTCTCAACCTTACTGCCCCTTCAATTTCTCTTCCCCAAACTGCTCCTCCCCCAACCCCTTTCAGCAACATGGGGCGGCCCCCCTCAGGGTGGCACTGTCATTGGAAGATGGTAACTTCTGCCCCAGTGCCTATAAGGAACTATCTCTCTACTTGCCTCCCTCAGATTATGATTTGAGCAAATAGATACTTCCTAGAATCCTTGGGGACTCACCCTATCAGGAGCGAGGGAGGGGGTACCTCTTGCCTCCCCTCCCCGGGGACCCCCTAGTCTAAGTGCAGGTTCTTCAAATCGGGGTAGAGCCCGGTTGAGGCATCAGGCTCTTCAGCAGGGGGAGCCGAGGGGACAGCTGCTATTGTACGACAGATCCTATCCTTTTCTCCACTATTCTTGTCAGACTCATAGCAGCAGGTAAGATGTCCTTATAGCAACTGGTGCCCACCTACTCCTAGCACTGAGTGCAGCCTGCCCACTCCTAGCATTGAGTGCAACCCAACCACACTCAGCACTGCTCCTAGCACTGACTGCAGCCAGCCCATAGCCACCATGTTCCCTTGCACTGCTGTGCCAGTCACGATTGCACTGTCTCACCCCATCCTGTTTGCCCTAACTTGGAC